TGCGAATACAAGCGCATTTTGGAATGCTTTAGAAGGAAAAAACGTATGACGCGCATAGTTCAAAATGATGAGCGCGGAAACGAGAAACAGAGATTTTTTTTTTCACAGCCTAATGCAGATTATTATTTATCAGGGTTAGATTATAGAACTCGATTCAGATAAAAAAAAATATGACAAGGCAGGCATCATCGCGAATATGATATCTCTAATTCAAAACACAGGTCTTGTGTATTCACTTTTTTCAAAGCGCAGACTAAAATATTTATTGATGTGACATGCCTTTTTCATCAGTACCATAAAATCTGTTAGAAGCCGCATCCCTTATACATGTAGAAGTCTTTTAGAATAATTTGAAAGGTTTGTAGGTGCTCTGCGGCTGCGGCTTCTAATTACAGATTTTACAGTGATAGTAAATGAAATTATTTAATTCTTATGAATGGAGGATATGCTATTACTGTAAAATACTTTATTTTCGCTTAGAATTAATTTTCGCTAAAGGAATAATTCAGTGAGTTTAAAATCCAGCGAATATACCTTTTTTCCTATATTATACATTCAAAAATCAGTGAAAATAAATTCCATACAAAACACCCAAAAAGTCTTTCCAGCGAAAATCAATTCCAGCTAAAATAAAGTATTCTACAGTATTTTATCCTGGTATACACTGAAGAAAATTGAATTTGGTGTCAATAATTATTGTCCTAAGAACCGTCTATTCTGTTGGGGTGAGACACTTCCAACAAATGACGGGTGCCGGCCATTAAACACACACAACAGAAAAAGAATTTTTTTCATGCCAAAATATCAGTATAATAAAGTTGGCTCATTACTCCAAAATCGAGATCAAACAAAACTATAGAATGAGTTGAAAAAGTCACGCGTCGCATGGAATTTCCTTCCAATTGGTGTATTATTAGGTTTTCAATGGCTTGTATTAGTGTGTGTGTGTATTTGTAATGATCACAGCTTTGGGTGTCTATTGGGCATACAAATTGTCAAAACACTGACCTGAAAAAATAAGCTGTTGTAAATATTCTTTACTATAGCATCTAATTTCCATATGTTTGGTTGAAGTGATATCGTAGCAGCTGCCGTAAATCAGTATAGAATACGCAGCAGATGTTTCTCCTCAACCCCCCATCCCTCCCCGCTTCCTCCAAACTGTTTTGTAATTGCTAGCTGCTTCGTTTCAACATTTTTTGTTGTTGATCTCTTGCACAGGATAAGCTATACTTCCTGTTGTAGAATGACTTGCATAATTGAACGACAAAAATGCCATGCCGTTTTTTTTTTTTTCTTGGTGGATTACAGCAGGGGGGCTATCTATGATATGCCGTGTGCATTGTCCCATCTGCTGCCTTGTCTTGCTTCATTTCCGAGCTATTTGAACACCTATAGGTTTCAGCCCTTGCGTTAGTGATCGCTAGCGCTCATGGAAACCGTTGTGCAAGGTCACTGAACTGGAAAACTCTAAACAGTACAGTGTGTCGAGTTGTGGATGAAACAGTACTGAATTGGGTGCTGGCAAAGACACTTGATACCCATGAAAGGGAAAATTATTGTCCATTTGAATTGGGAATGCTACACCCGATTCTTATTAGGTAGTAGACAAAAGTGAACAGCAACGTCATTTCGCACTCCCAGCATATGAGAAGTTTCATTGGCTTAATTTGCTGACGTCATACGTAGTGGTAGTTCCATTTTAGAAATTTCTAAGTGTTTTTGGCACGTGTTTCGGGTAAACTGTAAAGGAAACAAAAGTAGTATGCTGACAAAACAATAACAAACGAAAAGTAATACATTTGTCTGACTCTGTTGAGGTCAAGCTTTTGGGATTCAAATTGTTTGATCTCAGTGTGTGTTCTTGTAGAGTGAGTTGTGTGTACGATGCATTAGAGAAAACATGATCTAATGGCTTATGATATCGGTATCAACTGTGTTCGTCGCAAGTTGTTTGTACAGATGCCAAAGTTGTAGCTACTACATATACTGTACAAAAATGTTTAAACATTTTGGACCAGGGATATTTTGTTATTAATCGCATAAACTACTTTAACCTTATCACTACCAGTTGCCTCTTTTCATCACAAATTCACAAAATAGTTCCATTTATAGTCTGCACTCTTCTTCAGAAGATTGGGACAAAAACAGCCAAATTTTTTAGGAAAAACTGAAAATCAACTCAAATTTTGTTTGTTGGCTCAAAAATTTGGGTTCATTTCAAGAAATATTAAAGAATATAAAAAAAGTGCAGAAAAATTTGGGCGATAAAGTCTGATGTTGAAAAGATTAAGTCGCATGAGACAAATCAGTAATTATTACTCTGTAGTTCTATGACACTTAGCGTCAGTGACTTAATTTCACAAAATTTTGTCTTCATGAATGCATCTAATCAGAAAAATTCCAAGCAAAGAAAATTAATTGATTTTTCTGATTTTAAAACTCTTAAATTTGTCTTAAGATGTAGTAAACTTGTTCAAAAATCCCAAAATACTACTCTTGCCCAATTAAATGAGTTACATAATCGTGGTTCATATTGCATTTCGAACATTTCAACATATACAAAGTGTCAACGATAGAAAATAAAATACAGTTAAATTTTTGCTGCTTGAAATTTGATTATTCATTAGTATTCATCCGGACAAAATCCATTGAAAGTCACTGTGACTCGGCGGTGTCTTTGGGACCCCAGTGATATTCTTCACTACTTTAAAATTGCAGAAAATAAACTCTCGAAAATTTATCCGAAATTAAATTAGTTTATGGAAATTCTTATGTGGGTACTATATTTTGTATTAACATGATCATTTTTAAATCTAATCTACTAGACAACTCTATCGATGTTGCACGTTTCAGTATATTTGATGTTCTGATGTCTGGACTTGTGCGTAATCTCTAGACTCTTTGTCGTCATCAACCCCTTACATTACTTTATACTATCAGCATATTAACTTCTACATCTGATTTCTACATTGAACAAAAAAACTATTTTCACAATTTTTATGGTGAAACAAAAACGTTTTCATTCGGTTATCAAAATTAATATTATTCAATTTGTCAAGCTTATAATCTCTTCCAAGAAGGGTCTTTCACTGTACCATTTAGAATTAACATGCAATGTGACACCTGAACACACGTATAGTAGTGTACTAGTGATCGTTAAGGGAAAAAATTGAACTTAGTTGAGTGTTGGTTTAACTATATTCTTACTGTAACTTCCGAGTTAGCATTCATTGTGAGCCGTGTGATGTTGTTTACTTTGAAATTATTTTTGACACAAAGGTTTTGAATAGTGAACACTGGATTTGATGGGCTTAGTGATGTTTGGTCACCGTCAGAGGTTGAAGTTATACTATTTTTGAAGTTATTGTCCTTTTAAAATTTAGCTAGCCAACTGATTTAATATATTCTTAGATTTTTAAAATAGTGAAACTTAATAAACCCTAATTTTCGAGCCAACAGACAAAATTTGAGTAAATTTTCAGTTTTTACACAACAAACTTGGCTATTTTTGTCCCTATCTTCTGAAGGAAAGACTATAAATGGTACTATTTTTTAGTTTGTGATGAAAAGAGGAAACTGGTGGTGAAAAGGTTGAATTCAATAGTATAACATATCCGAACTGTTTGCATAACCGAACAAAAAGCATGTCCCCCTAACAGTCCGGATAATCGACGTTCTCCTGTAAATGTAAAATAAATATTTTCATTCTGATTGTCATTATCACAACAGGGTATGATTTTGGAGTTTCTATGATGTATGTCATATTTTAAAGCTCACAGTTTGATTACATTCAAACAATATGTTTCACATGTTATATGGATCCCATATCAAACAAATTACGATATGTTGACTATGGTGCTTTAAACCTGATCGGAATTGTCAATTGCTTGGCGTTCTAATGAACTTGTCATGGATGGGGACTGTATTGCGTATTTTCAGACAGTTTCTAAGGTATTCAGCTGTCTATGTCTTTACTGGTCAAGGAAAGAACTGTAGTGTGTATGGATCTTAGAGTCAAGGGTCTCCTTTCAGCCTCTGAAAATTATTCACTGATTAGCGAAAATTCACCAATAAAATGAACATGTAAAAATTGAACTCATTGTTTCTCTGGTAAATCCGTGAATTTAAACTGCAGTGAATTTGATCAAAATAGAGGAATTAAATGCTTGCAAAAATTAATGCTTTTACTGTTTTGGCTGCCGTACCTATTTGCCAAGTACTAACAGCCTCTGTAGATGTTGGGTTTCAACACACAGATACACTTGTACATCATTTATCCTTTTTTTCTTCTTGATATTTCAGGAAGGAAAACGAAGATCAGGAAGAGGCTCATTCCGACGAGGGAAAAACAAGAAAAATGGGATGACAAACAGTCACTCAAAAGAGGTAAGATAATCAATCTAATTTTATTCCAATCCTACTGAGTTCATCGATCATATTTTAATCACATTTCACCAGATGAAGTATTTTGCTAATATTTGAGCGAATCACGTTGGCGCCTTAAATGGTTTACACAAACAAATTAACTAACACTGCTACTCTACAAGCACTGACAGATGTGAAAATAATTAAGATTTATTGGAATTTAAGTATTCTGATCAACTTCTCGTAACTGCTTCACAGACTGCAAGACTACATTAAAGTAATATAATGGCGCCATGTTTAATCTCCAAACACACTATTACATGCAGGTATTCATTGTGGAGTTTATTAAAAACAAATTGTGAACTGAAAATGTCAACAACATTTACATAAATTTATCACATGTATTATTGATATTATAGGAATGGTAGTGTATATGTAGGGTAGTGGAGTGTCGGGTCTTTATGTGGCGTAATTTGTGGGTGGCATGGGTCCGAACTTTGTTTGGATGGCGTATAGTTTCATTGAAATCGTTTTATCATCGGGAAGTCATTTTCAGAGCTTGCTTGGTTATTCCTACATGTACACCAATAGGTTGGTCAACATTTACAGAGTTTCCGTGCATGCCCCCCCCAGAATTGGTTGCTATACCCTTTTTAATTCAGTACAATGTGTTCTCACCCCAATATTTGTTTGGTTAAACCTTGCAATATTTAGTTGTCAGATAGTATTTCCACCCCCCAATAACTATTTGGTCAACCCTAAAAATATTCACTTAGTATTCCCACCTCCGATAATTAATTGGTCAATCCTTGTTAAGTTTTCCTGATATTCCCACCCCTGATAATTATTAGGTCAACCCATAAAATGTTAGCTTGGTATTGCCACAATGATTAGTTTACTAAAGGTTAATTTATTTACACAGTTATTTATCAAATTTTAAATCACAATAACTTATGTTGGTGAGTAATTGAGTATACATAATTCTGCTGGTAGTAGTGATAATTTGGTGGGGGTTACAAAATAACAATGCTGGTAACATTTGGTGTGAAAAGTTTCAGTTACCCTCTGCATTTCTATTTTGGAAATGTAGTTCAATTGATATGTAATCTCGTAACCTTTGACCCTTTGAGTGTCAAAGTCAACTTTTGTCAACATTCACAAATTTTTAACCCACATAATTTTTTTTTTTCATTTTTTTTAAATTTTTATCAAAACTTGTAACCTATGTCCATTTGGTTCAAAATCATAAAAAAAAAACAATTTTGAAAAATACTTTTTAAAAATGGGAAAATGTTTCACAACTTTGTCAGGAAAAAAGTATGTCACTTAAAAGGTTAAAATACTTGAATAGGTAAGGTGTGGCGCTTCGTGAAGTGGTGTCATGAGTTTGTTGTACTTTGGGACAGCCTTAGTAGCTCATTACATTTCTGTATCCTCTCTGGTCATGTACAACATAATAAAAATTTGATGACAACGATGTGAACAATTGGGTTATTACTACAGATAATTTATGAAAATTTTAAAAAGTTTCAGCAAAAAACAAATCTAGCTTGATGTTAAGGTGGTGTATAATATACTGTAAAATGACTAATTTTCATTGGGTTTAAATTTCACTGTTTTAGCATTTCAGGCATATTTGGTGGGTTTTAAATTCACAGTTTTATCATTTAGATAATGTGTTCTATGCTCAATTTTACATATTCACTGGGTTTTAATTTTAGTGCATTTTCTAGTCGACGAAATAAGCAAAATTAAAACCAGTGATTAATTAACCCCTTTACAGTATTATGAATATTAATTAATTGTCTGTTTGCACCAGAATGTAAAATTAAATATGTATCAATTGTTTTTGCGTACATAAATAGATTCATGAATTATCACATTTGCATATTTAATGTGATTATTAATTAGCATTCGTTAGAGAGTATTGTTTTACTTAATATTGAGAACAATAGAGATCGCTGCTGTTACATAAAAAATTATAAACATTCTGAACACAATTTGCTGTAATATCAACAAGTATTCATCGACTTTGACCTTCATTTTGGACTGCTCCATGGCTTGAGACTACATTTGATGTGCATTTCGTTCTTTTGATACATTTTTATTAGTGTTTTTCTAGTTCATGTTTTGGCATAAATTTCTGTGCTTAAGTTTTTGGACTAAGATTATAGTCCATATGTTTGGTGAAAATACCCATAATGTTACGCGTTTTATGTTTTCAACTTAATTAGCATTCTTAAATGAAATAATGCCTGTATCTTGAGCCTAAATTATCTTATATTTTTTAAATTCATATTTGTATATACATTATGTATTTTGATTTTAAAATTGTCAAATTTTTATAATCGGAGAAAATTAAAATGTTAAAATTCAGCAGGCGTGCTTTATATAGTTTCCATACAGTTGACCAGCAAGAGGTGAGAATATTTTTAATTTTGATAATCTGTTGCAATTTAATCAGCTTTTGGCAGCAGAAAATGCATGAAATTGAATGCATTGTCAGTTAAATTAATAAGGCTTCTTTCAGACATTGTATTGAGCCAGCTTGAAACTTATTTTAATGTAAACTGCATTATTCAGGGTTTTTTTTTGGATAGATTCTCATGTAAAATTTCTGGTTTAAAAAATCTTAAGGTTTTTAACACTAAGTTTTTCTGGCCGCAATTTTTGTTTTCATCCTGAAATTCAAGAAGTACAAAATAAAATGGTGTACTGGATAAAACATTCGCTAAAAGGAATCGGTAGTAATAACACAACACATCAGGAATTCTCTGTTTATTTTTCTAATCACCCATATCCACTTGTTTGAGATGTTCGTTTGTTGTTTTCATTGCCTATGTTATGGTACCACACACTGGATATGGTCTGGTGTTTTGACTTTGCTCGTCAAGCGTGGTAGTAGAGGAGATGAACAACAATCAAACATTTTTGCTTACTTGCCTACAAAAACATTGTTTGAAATTCGTGGTCGTGTACAAGTTTGTTCCAACCTTTTTTTTTAAATTTGAAGATATCGCCCAACAACAAAAAAATATCAATTTGTTTTCAAATATTTTTTTTGCAAAGTAGGACAGAATATAGTGAAATTTGTGTAATTATTGAGTTCATATTCTGCATCTTGATTTCCTTAAAAAGTTAAATTTCTCCAAAGTCATTTTAACTTGTTAGTGAAATTTTCACTAATTACAAAATATTAATATGCCTTGTAATTGAAGAATTTTACTATCGTAACTGTGTTGGAAATCACATGTTCATGTTTGATTTAATATTTTTTATTTACTAATACAGACATGGAATTCAGATAAGTGATTTGTATGTGTTGTATATATTTTACCTGTAAAAACTTGTAGTTGGGTGAATATTCACAGTATGTGTACACTAAGTTGTAGGTCAATGTCATTGATTTGAATGTCAGCAGTATTGACTGCAGTCAAGTGTAACTCTTGTTCCATTCAACTGGAACACATTATCATAGTAGTGCAGGTAGTGAAATTGTCCCTTTATGTTAGTGATTGGTATTGCCATTTTGGTGGTATTTATTGGAAATAGTGCCAAGCATGGGTAATTAAAGTCACGTATACTGGTATTCACGTATACTGGTATTCACGTATACTGGTATTCACGTATACTGGTATTCATTCTTGAGGAATTGCTTCAGCGCTTTAAGTTTCACAATATATGATCAGTAACTCACTTAAATCCTATATTTTCCAGCCATAATTTTTGCCGCAACATTTTTCACATTTTTATGTATTTTTGTAAAAAAAAAATTATTTTGGACCAAAAGAATTTATTTTTTTATTGCATTCAGGTCTTGATAAGAATTGTTGAAAAAAAAGTTAGGTGAACAAAAGTCATGTACATTGTTTATATCCAACCAATATCTGAGTTTTCATCAAAAATATTCAGTTCTTATAATTATTATTAAACAATAGTTAGATTTTCTTCATGGAGAAAATAAATGGTGGTGTTGTACACTGTTTCACAAATACATCTAAGGGGCTTGTCAAATCAAAATAATTGAATTCACAGACAGTAACAAAAAAATCACAATGTCTGTACAATATAGGGGATATGTGCGATGCAGATAAGTACGCATTCAGTGAAGGAGGGATTGAAGTTTATACGCAGCATGCTATTATTAGACGAATATAATACAGTGGTCTTTCTTATATGTGAAAGAGAAATCTGTACCTGAACTCTGTGTTACAGTGGAGCTTAGGAATGTTTATATGGCTGTCATTTCTCATAGAAGACAATGACACTGTCAAAGAATACCTCCTTGTCTGTATTGTTATGACAAAGACTTGGAACTCAGTGTCTAGTGTATATAGTGTGGATTATTGGCGTTGTTGTTTTTTTTCTTCTGTACAGGATTCTGTGTTTTTCACACTTGTGTATGATATTTGTACAAACAAAAGTGATCACCGCAAATAGTCACCAATTGTATATTGTATTGCTGTTTTTTCTGTCGATTGTGAAGCTTTTTTTTAGTTACTTTACAATCCTTGGCAAATGATAGTGAGAATGATTTAATTGTATTATGACTAGAAAATCTCGCTCGTATTTTTATGTGCTTTATATACAATCGATTGTTAAGCAGTTTAAAATAATCCTGAGATTATTAAAGTTTTGTGGTGTTTTGTTTATGAAGTAAATAACACTATTCAAGATATATTATTTGAAGAAAAATAATTTTTTTTTTTTTTATTGTTTATTTTTCAGTCTATTGCAGCTTCTGATGGAGGTAGGTAGACATTAATTGATTGGCTCGATGCCATTGGCGTGTTTCAGTTTTACAGTCGCATACCTGCCTCGTGTTTGCCAGGTTGCTCTGGCGCTTCGATTGTGCAGCCAAAATAGTACAACTACCCAATAATCTTTTTAATTACTCTACACCTAAGATTATAATACGATTCTGATGAACAAACACAGCTTCAAATTCAATGATTGTTCATTATTTTATTTTACACTATGTCAACTTGTTACTGATGCTGTATTTCTTTAAGAATGTCACTAAATGTGGCATAGAGGGCGCTGTATTCTATATTTCCCTGGATCAGCATTATGAAATTATTTATATTCATGCCTAATTTGCTTTTCTTCTTAGAACTCCCTGTTCCACTGCCTGTGCCGCTCAGTCGCAGCAGCAGTCTTAGAAGTGTTGGAAGTATGTGTGTTCAGAACGATGATATTGGTCACGTCGCAAGCTGGGCTGTAGGTTTCGAGAGGCTGCTTTACGATCCTCTGGGATTGGCTTGTTTTACTGTGAGTATAATTTCCTGTTACCCAAGTTTATGTGAAT